TATGAAATAAATAAATATATAAATATATATATGTATACATATATATAATTAAACTGTAGAAGGGACTTCCATGTGGAATTGCTAGCAATTACATAGTAAAAGATACTAATTAAACTTTAAGAAAAATTTTATTGAGAAATAATTGAAGTGAATTACATCAACCTAATGTTTAGTTTAATTTTATTATTAGCCATAAAGTTCAGCTGAGTGGACCAAAAATACTTGCTTAAAGAGCATTATTTTAAAGTCTTTCAATTAAAATTGTATTGTAATTTAATAGATAGCAATTCTCCCCAAATTGACCTGTAGGTTCAGGGGCACATCCCTTTCAAAATCTGGTATTTTTTGGTAATTGATCAACTTACCTTTAAGTGTAGAGGGGAATACAAAAGACCTAGGATAGGCAAAAAAAATTTTGAGAGAAATGTACAAATTGAGAGCTTTGTATTTTGTAATTTTAATACTTATTATAAATATACTGTATAATAATACCAAATGTATAGTAGTATTGGCATAATAGAACAGAATGGAGTTCAAAAATAAGCGCTTATTTTTATGGGAGGCTTATTAAAGCACTTAATTCAATGGGAAATGGATAGTTTTTTTACATGTTTTTGGAACATCTGAATATCTGTGTCTACAAAAACATGAGCTTATATTCTTACCTTATATAAAAATTAACTCAAATAGTTCAAAAACTGAAGTATAAGATATACATAGGAAAAAATTTCTGTGATTTGGGGTTAAAGTATGCCATTAAAATTACAGTGTGTAAGAGGAAATAATGATATATCAAATTTCATCAAAACTTGATAGCAGCAATGTGAGACCCCAAGGCGGATCCCAAGTTCAAGACCAGCCCAGGCAACTTATTGACTGTCTCAAAATTAAAAATTAAAATTAAAAAAGGGCTAGGGATGTAGTTCAGTATAAAGGTCAGCTGTATGAAAAAACAAACCAAAAACCTTGAAAATAACATACAAGGTGGCAGTTAGGAACAGCTACCATAAAGCATAGGCAAAATTTCTCAAATGTTGGACGTACTTCAAACTAGAATGTAGCAGTTGTGAACTGTTTATATTTGTGAGAAATTATTGAAATGTACCCTTATAAGGGTGAATTTTGTGTTAAGTAGATTATACCTCAATAAAACTGTGAAGACTTGCTGGTAAGTTATATTTTCAGCACTAAAAGGCACACCCCAAGGTACAATATTTAAAACTCTTGTTTATAATAGGCACATCAGGGTGTGTGTTGGTAATCATAGTTGCTGTTGACCCATTTCCTTCAGAGAAGACGGAGGTTGGAGGTAGGATTAAATGGAGAATTATAAACAAACTGTATATGCATAAAGTGATTTGTCCCTTCGGCAGAGGGAAAGAAATGAAACTTTGCCTTGGAACATATGCGCTGACCATCTGTTTCTACACAGAAGTACAGGTTAAAAACAAACACCAAAAAAATATGAATCATCAGGAAAATTCCTGATAGAAAGGGGATTAGGAGATTTCACAAACTATGGCCAAATCTGGCCCCAGACTAATTTTGTATGACCCACAATCTAAAAATGATCTTGGCATTTTAAATTCATTATTTTAAAGAATATGTGGCCCTTACTGGCAAAAATACATGCTGCCTGATTCTTAACTAGAAAATTTTGCAGATTTTTTTATTTAGAACATGGTTTGGGACTGTACTAGTTTAGATTCTCCAGAAAACAGAATGTGTGTGTGTGTGTGTGTGTGTGTGTGTGTGTGTGTGTACAGATTGATTAATTGATTGATTGGTAAGAAATTGTCTCATGTGATTTTGAAGGCTGGCAAGTCCCAAGCTGAGACCCAGGCAAGCCAGTGGTGTAGTTCCAGTCCAAACGTTGACAGTCTCAAGGCCCAAAAAGAGCTGCTGCTTTTGCTTCAAGTCTGAAGGCAGGAAAAGCTAACGTTAGCTTGAAAGCGGTTCGAAAGAAGTTCTCTCAACTATAGTGCAGTTAACCTTTTTTATTCTATTCAGGCTTTCAGTTGTTTTAATGAGGCCCATTCACATCAGGGAGGACAGTCTTCTTGATTTACTGATTCAAATGCTGATTTCATCCACAGACGTAGGATTCCCACTATGGAATTTTGATAAGTAGACTTATGAAATAACAGTTATGTGTTCAGTATAACTTAAGTAACTGTTACATATTCAAGAAAATAGAGGAGATGGTGAAGAATTTGAGCAGCCAATTGAACTCCATGCAAAAGAATCAAATAGAATTTTTAGAAATGAAAAATATCCAATAGAAAGTTTAACAGCAGATTGGGAAGAGCCAAAGAAAGGACTGGGTATGTTGAGATAGAAGAAAGAGAGAAAAAAAGAAATTCAGACTAAATTATGGACTAAATTATTTTTTTGTCAAAAAAAAAAAAAAAGAAAATACAGAAAAGAGAGTATGCAATGTAGCGGAAATGATGAAAAGAACTGGCATACAGATATTTGGTTTCCCAGAAGGAAAAGACAAGCTGTAGCAGAAGCTGTGTTTGAAAAGTTAGTGCCCTGTAGTTTTCCAAATTCCATAAGAAATATTTTGACACAAATTCAAGAAAAACCAAAAGCCCTAAAGATGGGAATGGAAATCAGACATCACTTACATCATAGAAGAATTGCCAAAAAGCAGCCAACATAAAATCATAAAAACAGCCAGATAAGAAAGACATATTATATTCAAAGAGTAAAAATTAGACTAAAAGGTACATTCTCAATAGAGAAGAAGAAAAAAAAGAATTCAGAAGAAAATGGAATGGCAACTTTCAAACACTGAAATAAAAAATAATTGCCATCTAGAATGTTAAATAAAGCAGAAATAAAATACAAAACTGAAGGCAAAAATCAGAATTTTGAAAGCTCTAGAGGACAACTTACTTTTATTAATAAATTGTAAGAAAAATAAATGTATAGAGAAACCTAAAAACAAAATAGACTTTAAGAGATAGACCAAACCATTAATTAATTTTTATATTGATATCATGATTCAGTTTAACAAAATTAAGTTTTTTATCATGTTGAATAACTGGAAATTTGAACAGTTAATACCTATGTAATGGCCTTGTGAAGTTTAAGTAATATATTTTTAAAAAGAGAACCTCAAGTTTTAGTGATATATTGTACACAGAAATATGTATGGATAAAACTATAATTTCTGATTTTTTTTCAGAATAGTACTAGAGGATCAGAATACAAATAGAATGCAACTGATGTTATGGCAATATTGTTGAAGTTGAGTGGTGGGTTGTAGAATTTACTTAAATTGTCCATTTTTGTGTATTTTTGAAATTCTCAATGAATTTCTTTTAAAAAATAGATGACATAAAGATATTTGCAGAAAAGTAGGGTGAGTTGTGGTGCTACCAGCAGAATTGGACAGTTCTTCAGGCAAATGGAGAATGTTCACAGTTCGAACTTGTGCAGTATAGAGTGTGGGGGAAAGCAAAAGAAGCAGGAGAATGCAGGGTACTTACAAGTACCAAAGTTAATAATGATAATAAAAAGGTAAGAGGTGGAGTAGAAGATTGTGAGTTATGTATCTGAACACCTTGAAGTCCTGATCCTAAATGTTACCATGCCTTTCAGCTTACCACTTTGTATGAAAACGTAAGTATGCGCAACCAGCAGTTAGAAGAAGAGGTAAAAGATCTAGCTGACAAGAAAGAATCTGTTGCACATTGGGAAGCCCAAATCACAGAAATAATTCAATGGTGAGTATGTTTTTTTGTGAATAGTTGTAGATTTAAGGCCAAGTTGATGTGAATTTTAAGACTGCTAATATATTCTTTATCTTATTTGTTTGCTATGGAAAATAAGTTACTTAAAAATGCACGCGTTCTGCTGTGTTTTCTTTTATGTTTCTCTGTTCCTTAATTCCAACACATGTCCATACCAGTTTTTACTCAGCTTTGTTGAAATCTCTTCCTTCTTACTACCTTGCTTGCTTTCTTGCTTGCTTTCTTGCTTGCTTTTCTTCTGTCTTGAACCCAGGGTCTTTACTGAGCATTGAATTATATACTCCCAGCCACCAATCCATTCATTCATTTAATTATTTTACTTTTGAGATGAGGTATCAGTAAATCACCAAATTCTATAAGCTGGGCTTGAACTTGTGTTTGTCCTGCCTAAGCCTCCCTGAATGGAGTGATTAAACATTCCCCCACTGCACTCAGCTTGTTATTTTTTTCTAATAGAAAATGTTATCCCCTTGTAATCAGAGTTGGTCCTTAAAGAACTGAAGAAATTTATCCATTATCTACCAGTGTTTCTGTTTGAGATCAAAACTACTATATTTATGATTAAGGGACAGAAATCCTGAGAAAAATTTAGAAGCAGAAGATGCTATGCTCATTCAATATAACATGAATTCAGACATGGCATTTTTAAAAACTTGTTATTTTAATTTACTTTTATCATTTATTCCTTAAACCTCAGGACCTAATTTTATTTAGTTGAGTAACCTTCCTGTTAATTTCTTTGTATTAAATGATCACTATGATTCTTGTTAAAATTTGTATATTTCATAATTCATGGAAGAAGTAAAATACAAAAAACTTATAGTAAAAATAGGTATCATAACTTTTTGTATTTATTTGGCATTTTTGTTCATTTTGGGACATTGGTTTACTTCATATCAAAACAACTAGTTTCTTCATCTATCTATAGATGAGTTCTTTGTTGGGAATTTTAGTTTCTTGTGCTCATATTTTGTTTCAGGCATTTTTCCATTTTTCTTCTCAGATTAATAGCTTCATTAAATAGAATTAAAAGTGAATAAAAATGTTTTTCAGTAATTTTACTCGAATTACTCCAGTATTTTGATGTTGACTTAACTATACACCTTTTTAGACAGCTAATGTTTGGCATATGAATGTATTTATTCACTGTGTATAAAGGAAAATGCTCAGGTTGTGGAAATTTGGTTGTGTTCCAAACAGTGTAGTTATGTTTCATTAATGCTTAATTTATATCTCTATCATTAAGTCTATGTTTCTGAAGCAAAATCATTTTCATGTTTAGCTGGCTTCATAATACCAAAAATTATGAGTTATCATATCATTCCATTACTGTGTAATCAAATATACAGTTAAGGTGGAGCTAAAACTGACTTCATAATCTATTAGACCGAAAGTGGTTGTGTTCAGACCTAAAATCCTAGACAACTGCTCTTTTCCAGTGACCGGCAAAAATCAGTTCAGCTGGAATGGAAAGAAATTCCAGTAAAGGAAAGAGGCTTTAAATGTGGATTCTCTAGAAAAGCTTATGAGGAAGGGTAAAGATGAAAGTTTTTGTATGATGCCCCAAAACACTCACTTTTCATTAGTATACAAATGAAAATAATTAAATGAGAAATGTTTCAAATAATGTGAGTGAATTTAAATAAAGGGACGTAAACATTTCATTATTAAAACACTCTGATTTTCCTATATAGCTCTTTCTTCTACCTTTTATTATGCAGCCTTCACCATTTCCCAACTTTCATATCTCATGAAAAAGAGTTCAACTTCATTGGCCTTATTTATCAAGAATTTAATTCTAAAGTGTGGAATTTGTCCTATTTGAAACAATTTGACAACTTTTCTATCTAAAATCTTCATAATGTCATCAGCTAGATAGCCTTAAAAGACAGTAGGATAGCCTTCAAATAATAAATAGAAACTGGGTTTCATTAGATTTTAATCTTTTCTCTTTATTATGTTGATTATTTTGGAAAGCCAGTGAACTTTACTATAACACACCTAATCTTTGCAGAATATCCTATTTTAAACATTCTAAATTTAGAATACTTCAGTTTTAAGAAGGGTGTGGGTGAATGAGAACCATAGTGTTTTTTAGAAAGCCTCACTTGTGCTCATGTGTAGTAATTGTTAAATTTTGAAGCATTCTGATTCTGTGGCCCAAGGGTACAGATTTACCAGATTATCAGATTAAGAGTAACTCCTAACTTTTCTCAACATTGCCACCTTTAATTTGTATATAACTGAAAGTTCAGCAGGCCTTTTCCCAGTTGTTGACAGGTAGTGGTAGTGAGGTAGAGCTTTTAAAAGACATTACTTAAGAACATCTTAATATTTCTATCACTTATTTTTTATGAATCTTTAAAATAATGTATCTCACGGAAATTTTTCTGTTCATTTGTTTTTCTATTTTGTCTTTATATGTGTGCATTCCAGGGTCAGTGATGAAAAGGATGCCCGAGGCTATCTTCAGGCCTTAGCTTCTAAAATGACTGAAGAATTGGAAGCATTGAGAAATTCCAGCTTGGGTACACGAGCAACTGTAAGCTCCCCATTTTGAGTGGAAGTTTATTAGGAGAAAAAGAAGGCTCAAAAAACACTGTAATAAATCTGATTATTTATATCAGTTTTTATACTTAAACTGTTGTAAAACTTTGAGGAATCAGTTCAGATCTTTTCCAGTTTAGGAAAACATAGCACATAGCTACTTAGCCATGTTCTGCAATTATTGGAAAGAACTGTTTAAAAACATCCATTCATTGGGGCTGGGGATTTAGCTCAGTGGCACAGCGCCTACCTGGCAAGCGCGAGGTCATGAGTTCGATTCCCAGTACCAGAAAACAAACAAACAAACAAAAAAAATCCGTTCATTTATATGTGAATATTTAAAATTATTTTTGAGCTTAATGAAAATAAATTTCTGCAAATAATGTTTTTTTGTTTCACTATTAGAGCAAGGTAATACTTGTAAGTAGCTTCTAAATTTCCTTGAAATACTAAATTTAAATGTTAAAAATAAAATGGGGGAAACTAAAAACACACCAACACTATTTTGTAGGACATGCCATGGAAAATGCGTCGTTTTGCAAAACTGGACATGTCAGCTAGACTAGAGCTGCAGTCGGCGCTGGATGCAGAAATAAGAGCCAAACAGGCCATCCAAGAAGAGCTGAATAAAGTAAAAGCATCTAACATCATAACAGAATGGTGAGATTAAACAATTTAGTCATACTAGAATAATTTATGAAATTTGCTAAAAATTATTTGAAGAGGAACTACATGTTTAATTTCCTGTTTCTTGCTTTTTTTTTTTTTTATAAGAAGGTGGGTAGGCATGGCCAGAAAAAGTTATTAAGATTTGAAAAGTGATAGACACTTTCAAGCCTTTTAGTGGGAGTGATGAGATTTTCATGCAGTCTTATTTTCCTCTGGCATGTCCATAAAGTGGAATTAATAATGGTAGATAATATTCCATTATTTATTTTACCCTTATTTATAAACTTTAGTTGACTATTAAATTTTATTGTATTAAATGTAAAATTCTCTCATATTTAAGAATACCATATTTGTATAAAATGTGATATATGATCAGAACAAAACATAGTCACGTGAAAATTATCCCTCTACCATATGTCTTTTACATATGAAGGTTCTATTGATGGTAGATTTCATAATGGAAAATTATCTTTTAATTAGAATTATTTTTCATGTTCTTTTATTGATAAAAAAGCAAACTTTCAATCTCTCGGGCATTAACAAATGAACATTTCTTCAATTCTTATCACAACAGTAGAACATATCATACTCTGAATGCACTTAAATGACGAAATGAAAAATCATATTTGGATTGCATATAAACATATTTCAAAAATAAATCAAAATAGGTGAAATAGCAAAAGAGAAAAAATAGGAAGTTTACATTATAAATTAAACAATAAATACTAAGGTCCGTTGGGTGCTCAGAACCAGAAGTTCCAAAAATATACAGGGTTATAAATTGAAGTTTTAAAAGCCTGAAGCATTAGTCCTTAAACTGTGTCATTAATGTTTTCAGTTGAATTGAAGGTCAGATATAAAAATATAAACCCTGCCAACTATAAACTTTTTGTTATAAATGACATAGATGTAAGTTATGTATGTACTTTTGTGGCCTTGAAAAGAGAAAGGAAAATTTTGGGGGGAATATTAATTAAACCCAACCTATAGCTACTGAATGTTAGTCTCTGTGTTGTAATTTGGGATGGTGTAATCTGTACCAAGGATGTTGGTATTTGCACCTTTGTTCATAAAGCAAAGGGTGTAAGTGAAATGTAAAATTATAAATCTGAAGATGTGCACCACTTTTCATGGTTGTCTATTATTGAATTCTAACAGAGCTAAAATTAACCTTTATTTTATAACTTTCTCATTTAATAATTCAGCTTACAGTCAACAGATATTTCTATAAAGTGTCAGATAGCAGGTATTTTTAGCTTTGAGGAACATACAGCCTGCTCCATAAGTTCTCAACTCAGCTGTTGCAGTTCAACATCTATGGTATATACTGAAGTGAAAAAAGCTTAGCTGTGCTGTAGTCACACTTATTTCTTCATAATAACCTTCATAATAGTAGGCTGTATTTGTCCTGCCTGCAGGAGTTTGCAGTACCTTGATTTAGCATGACTTAACATTTAAACCAAATAAGTCCAGCTGCACACAAAGTACCTGACTAACCAGCAATAAAAATTACTAACATTTTTTCCTTTTTTCCCCTTATTAAAGTAAACTAAAAGATTCTGAGAAGAAGAATTTGGAACTACTAGCGGAAATTGAACAACTACTAAAGGACACCGAAGAGCTTAGATCTGAAAAGGGTATGGGAATGTGTGTTTGCGTCAGTCAGGACTTAGTGTTTTGTGTTGAGTATATTTTATTACATAAGAGTCAGCTTATTACGTACATGGGAGAATTGTTTACATATGCAGTTCTGACACTCATTTATGAGTATATGTGTATATGATGCTTACACATACATATTTCCTAGACTGATCTCTTGAGTTGTTTTGTTTTACTTAATATATGTTGTTTTAAGAGTTTAGAGTGGCAGAAACTTGATTTGCTATAAATTTATTCTTTCATTGTCATGAACTATTTCTTGAGTACAGTTTTTGTAATTGGGAAAAGTTAGTTTATAATGTGTTTTATGCTAATATTGGCAAATAGTTTTTACTTGAGGTACTCACTTCAGCAGTGGCAGTGTGTCTTAACATTTAGAACTTGGTAAAAATTCTTGGACAAGCCAGGCGTGGTGTTGCACGCCTGTAATCCCAGCACTCGGGAGGCTGAGGCAGGAGGATTGTTGCAAGTTCTAGGCCAGCCTGGGCTACAAAGTGAGTTCAAGACCAGCCTGAACTGTATAGTGAGACCCTGTCTCAAAAAAAGACCAAAAAAAAAAGCAAAGAAATCTTGAACAAGTATTTATTAGCACTTTCTGTGTGCTTAGAATATACATCTTGGAGAAGGAGGTTTCATTCCTAGGGCTGTTGAGAAAAAAATGTATGAGACAAACTAAAGATGAATCTAAATTCAGTGTTACTAATGCAGTTCAGTAATGAAGAATTATTTGTGCATTTCAGTGTCTTTTTCCAGTTAGGTGCTTACATTGCTTACCTTTTGGGATTTCCCAGGATTCATTACCATTTCCTTAAAAACTTCTCTTTTGCATTTTTCCTTTAGTATGGAAGCTAACTCAGAGTATTTGATAGCTCTATTACATGAACTTCTTAAACTTTCTACAGTACATAGACATTAAGGTTGTTGTTTTGGAAATAGTTTACATGCAGCTATTCAGAATTAATTTTCCTGACAAAGGCCATCACTGAAAAAGTGAACTGAAATTAATAGCAGGCTTTCTATTAGGCCAAAGGCCTTTTTTTATCATTTCTCAGCCCTTTGACACAATAATGTAAAGCTGGGCTCTGTACCTGCTTATAAAATTGTGGGGGACAGACACTAATCACATAAAGAAGGTAAAGCTGTTTGAAATACATGATGTTCACTAAATTTTTGTTGGTTCAGTTTCTTAATAAGAAAAGTTAAGAGCTTAAAAAGAGTGAATAGGAACTCAGAAGCATAAACTATCATCCTAAGGTGAGAACCAAGCGAGGTTTTAATTCATGAAGAGTATAAGGGAGGTGCAATAATTAGTGAGAAGCAAAAAAAAGACTACATAAGCCGTGGATAATTTGTGGCCCTAGTGGCAATTAATAGGAAAAACCTGATATAGAGTGAGACTTACACATCAGCACCAGAGCTTTTTAATTAGCATTTTGAATATTGCAAAATAAAATTTCCTTGTATGTTATAATGTACTGTACTACTTAAATAATATGTGATATTTCAAAATGAGGGCAAGGATTTTTTTGTGCTTTGTTTACTACTATATCCCCAGTAGCTAGAGCAGTGCCTAATACATAATAGTCAGGTGTTTATTGACTGAATGAGTTTGTGAATATATTGATAACTATGATATATTATTAGCAATATTGAAAAGCACACAAATCATTGGTTTCTTAAGGGTCTGGAGGTCAAAATTGTGTGATCAGTTTTCTGCTTTATCTTCCATAATATTTATCATCATTTGTATATTTTAAGAATCATTTTTGAAAGTGTATATTTAAAGTTAGTATCAGAGCCAAGAAATATGAATTTTTTAAAAAATAATCTGAGAAAAACTGGGGTTTAGATCCTTCATTTTTTCAGTAGAAGAATCAAAATTGCAAAAAAAATTCCATACTAAGTGCATTTGTTTTGTCACTGCATTATTTTCTTATGAAAGATTTATTCATGTTTATTTATGATGTGATTGAAGTATTTCAAAACAAACATGTTTGATGATATAAGTTAAGCTTAGAAAAATAAGATACAAATAAGTCACTTTTTTTTAATGTTCTCTGAAGCCTACAAAATATTTAGTGTGCTTTTATGATATATAAGATGGAAAAAAGAACTTTAATAACAAGTAATTCAGAATCCAAGTATTTTGTGAAAATTCATGTAAGTTAAGTATTCAGTGGTAGTCTAGAAAACACTAATGTATTTTGGCTTTTTAAATATGTAGACTTGATAATATTGATCAGCTTTAAAATACAATAGTTTGTGAACACCTTGAATAGCTTGAGATAGGAAAGGTTGTCCATGAAACTTAATTTTAATTGTTCTAGTTTAAAAATAGTTGCTGCTGTCTTCTAGGTATAGAGCACCAAGACTCACAGCATTCTTTCTTGGCATTTTTGAATACGCCTACCGATGCTCTGGATCAATTTGAAGTAAGTATTAAACTTTTTAAATATTCTCTATGGTCAATATAAAGTTCATTTTACAAATTAATTCACTTGGAATAAGCTTGTTTTATTGCATCTTATGTAAGAGAGCCAAAATAAAGAAAGCAAAATAAAGTAGAGAAGGAAGATGTTCTGTATTCTTAGGGAAAGTAGTCACATGTATATTTAACAAAACATCTCAGAAAGGCCTAAACATGAAAATCATTATTAGATTAAAAACCAATTTCAGCTCCCTTAAACAATAAAAGCAGAACAAATTGCAACTTTTGAAATAATTTTAATACTTTCCTTGTTTCTGAAAAGCATAGAGCTACAATTTTAAAAAAGGTATGGGGAGGGGTTCCTGGGAGAATGTAGAAGCTCACAGTAGCATATTGCTGGCTCTTGTTTCAAATCTATTCATTTTTTAAAAATACACAATAAGTAATGTTTTTGTTAAAAGTATTACAGAGTCTGTTGGATGAATTCTATGGTAATGAAATAATGATTATATAACTCTGTCATTCTATATATTATTAGTTAAATTTTTTGATGGGAAAAAAAGTCACATTATACCATATAATTTTGTCTCTGAAAATTTAAATCAGTGATTATACCTTTATCCAACAAATAAGAATCAGGTAACTTAAGTGCAAGGAACTGTTCTAAGCACTAGAGATACAATAGTAACCAAAACAGTTTCTCTTCAAAGAGTTTACATGCCAGTGAAGAATTAGAAGCAGAGATTCTGCTGCTTACTTTTAGTTATTATTTTCATAAGTGCTTATATTTAATTTGATTATTAATGATTTGTCATGAGCGTCACTTTATTATTGTATGTTTTGGGCCTAGTATATAAATTATATTTCATTCCTTTGGGAAAAGGAAAAGAATTACTCTTTAAAATATAACTAATGAATGTCTTAAGTTTCTTGAAACAGTGATAGTGACTGCTTTTCTCATTTATTTATTTGAATTAATGCCATTTGCCTTTCAATTGTTTTATAAAATTTTGATTTATTATTTGTTCTTATTGAATTGCTTCATCCATATTTTCTATTTTTTATTGCTGTATTCGTTAAATAGGATTCCTTTTCTTCTTCTTCATCCTCACTGATTGATTTTTTGGATGACGTAAGTCTTTGATTTTCAAAACAATGCATCCTTCTGTAAAAGAGATCAGTGAATTGATTTGAAGAATTTGCTTAGTAATGCTTCAGTTTTAGAAATATCACACTTGGAAATTTATGTTGGGCCAAAATATCTTCCCCGTTATCTTAACTATAATGGTTTATCATTTTACAATATAATAAAATGTTTAAAGTACATTTTGAGAGATGCTTTGGCCATCAGAGAATCTCAGTATTTCCATGCTTTGCAAGAATTCCAAAGACTAGAATGCCTATTTAAATTATTGTCACTATATATATAAATAATTGCTTATTTTTATTTTTCATAATGATTTCAATTTTCCTTTTTCTTTTCAGCACTTTACTGTTTAATTTCTGTGTTGGTTAAAAATAAACCTTGGATGGTATAATAAAGTGACATTTTAAAAATTAAATCTTCCAGTAGATTTTATCATAACATAATAAGAGTACCAGTCAATTTCCAGAGCTATCCCAATTTCTCTTCTACTATGGAAAGCGACTTAAGTTAGAATATGCACTATTTGCCCTATAAATTGGCTGTATCATCATTTTCTCTCCCTAATTCTATAGATTTAATAATTGAAAGTTCTATTAAATATATATAATATATTATCTTTACATAATTGCCTATTATTTATCTTGAGGTATTTCATATTCAGTGGTACAGAAATCCTTGTTGTATAACGTTTTGTTATTCTGTTGAACATTCACACTTTCTAGAAATGAGGAAATAAAAAGTTCAAATGCAAATATTTTACATAGAACTGTTTTCAAACCCAAGAGATAGTCTTTAAATGTTTTAGTCTTTATGTTTTGTTAAATAAAATATAGCATTCAGAAGAGAATTTAGCATAACTTTCCACTAAAGGAACTTCTTGACCTGAATTTTTTCAAGTTAATGAATAAAAAGTGATTTTCAAACATTTGAAATACTTACACCAGACATACACATTTACATTATACATGGAAACTTTTTTTATTTCTAAGACAAAGAATTATTCCAATACTCAAATGTAATAAAGTAACTGTACAGATAAATAAATGATATTGTATATTATAAGTTGCTTTTCAGATATTAAAAAACCCAATATGTTTTCTTTTTCTTCCTTCTTTCCTTCCTTCTTTCCTTCCTTCCTTCCTTCCTTCCTTCCTTCCTTCCTTCCCTCCCTCCCTCCCTTTTTTTTGGTTGTTTTGGGACAGGGTCTATATAGTCCAGGCTGGTCCTGAACTCACTGTGTAGCCAAGGCTGGCCATGAACTTGTGGCAGCCCTCCTCTCTCAGCCTCCAAAATGCTGGGATTACAAGTGTTTGCCACACACACAGCTCCAACAGTTTTTCTATACAGATACCATTCATCTTATAATGAGAAGAGATTCTGAATAATGTATCTAATTCTTTTCGCTAGGAAACTATTTTCACTTTTTTTCTAATAAATTCTTGCCTTTATCATCTTCTTGCCCATAAGAAAATCTCTGACAGTAAAACAGAAGTAGTGTGCATTTGGGCAAATAAGCTGTTCTTCACAGAAGACCCTTCGGGAATGCTGGCTCATTTTCACTGTCTTGCGTGCATTGCCACTGCCCTCCTCCAGATGTAATGAGTGCCCAAGTCATAGCTGTTTCCCTGTTACTTTTTCTCCAGGAATATCCTTTCTTTTCCCACTGTTTGGCAGTACAAGCTCTATTCAAAAATACATTAAAAGGGCCAGGGATTTAGCTCAGTGGCAAAGTGCCTGCCTGGCAAGTGTGAGGTTGTGAGTTTGATTCCTGATACCAAAAAAACAAAAATGCATTAAATTCTTTAATAGCACAAAGGAATATCTAATATAAAGTAAAAAGGAATTGAGTTCATAGAAGCTATCCAATCTGTGATTATTGTTACTCTATGTCATAAAATGCATGATTTTGAAGATACATTTTCTTATTGTATTGGTCAAATATATATCCCAGTTCTAATTTCCCTTTCTAGGTATATAGTTTGGATGACATTAGCCAACTTCTCTATGCCACAGTTTGTTCACCTGGTAATAAGAATAATAATAGTACTTAATCTCATGACGGGGTTTAAAGATTTAGAGAAACTATGTAATATGTTTAATAATATTATTATTTCTTTTCTCTTAATAGGCTGGTTTCCTTTCTCTATTCTTTTTAGCTTCCTTTTTTGTCAATTCACTTTCACTTAGAGCTTTCTTAGCTCTTTTGTCAGTCAGCCTACTACCACCAATATGAATCACAACATTTCCTTTGAATTGTCAAATCCCATATCATTGGGACTAATTTTTATGTCAGAGTAAAGCCCATCAGTAAGCTGTCATTTAAAATTTTCTATTTTTCTGTCCTTAATTTATATTTTATGGTACAAACTTCTTGCTTTTGTTTCATGCACATAATAACAACCAACCTTCCCAGAGTTACCCACTCACTTACTTTATCCTCAAAGTCATGGTAGAATGATGTTTTGAACAGTAATATTCAATCTTTGGCAAACTTGCTCTCAGCATCTAAGATATTTAGTATAAAAATGAACTGAATAGAGTGATCTCCCTGTCACTTAGGCATTTGGGTTTTTTATTGCTGTTGTTTGTTTTTACTTTTTATTTTATTGATAGTACCTGTACATTTTTTGATTGTTCTTTGTGCCAAATCTGTTTTCTGGTTATATTATTGTACATAATGCTAATAGTATGTGACTTCCCTCTATAGTAAGTGGGCTCCAATATTTAACCCATAATACCATCTTTCTGGTCATTTTTTTCTGTTTTCTCTCCTATTGCTATAGAAAAGGTAATACTGAAGACCTAAAATCTGAATTGCAGCTGGAACTTGTAGGTATAGGAGAGAGAGTAAGGTTTGTATTAAGCAAAATTCCAGAAATCAAGTTTCTTTTGGTGTGTACACATCACCTGTCTTCCTGTATGCCCCAAGAGCTCATTATCCTCATGCTATCCCCTGATTTTTCAGTTTTACCACCAGTAAATCTCCTTCAATAGTACCTTCTGGTTTTATCCTTCTGCCTTTATCCCTGTATGCAGGGCAATTAAAACTTACTTCTTCTCTCTCATCCTTAATTTTTCCTCAGCATATTTTGCCCGCAAACTCAAAATTCAAATGAATATTGGAATTTTTGGCATTATGGGAGGGTCTTCAGAGAAAGTTGCCTTCTTTTTCAGTCATACAGTATAGTCAGCTTCTTTTTATGTACAAGAGTGGCCTTGACAGAGGAAAGGAGTATATGGAACACGTGTCATTTCCTTCCCCCAGGAAAATGGGAACAGCAGCTGGGCAAAGTAGAATGTATTCTCAGCACTTAGCTTCTGTACTTCAAGAGGATGTAGACATTTGGACTTTGCTACATGTAGAGTCATAGACTTTTTTTTCTTGAGGTACGGGGGATTGAACCATGGCCTTTGCACTGAACTCTTTCCCCAGTCCTTTTCTTATTTTTTAGTTTAAGAAAGGGCCATGCTTGGTCACTAGATTGCATAGAGTGGGCTCAAGCAGTCCTCCTGCTTGAGCCTTCCAGAATGGTGGCATTACAGGTGTGTGCCATGACAGCCAGCTAGAGTCATAGACTATTAATGGAAAAAAGAACCTAAGAAGATATTTAGTCTCATGGTTTTTATATTAGTATTTATCGTACCTTCCCATTAGTAAGAGCAGTAGTAAGAATGACATTTTAGGTTATTAGTCTTTAGGGGAGGGAAAGGAAAATAAAGGGCTGTTGAAGGCATTTGTTTGGACAAATAAAGGGGGTTTTGAGTTAACTTTAAAAGAAATCAAGATCACTTTGTTGAGTGGTCTCTTGGCATTCCTATATTAAGAAAGCAGTAGAAGTGATGCTGAGATCCTTCCTGCTTTGGACATTGTCTCTTCTACTCTCATCTTTTTCTTCAGTTCCACATGCCCAATCGTAGATTGCCTTTGACTTGTCCCAGTCTCTTTCTCTGCATAACCAATAGGGTATGAACAAGATGGAGCTCAGTGGTGTGGGTTTTCTTATTTCTCTCTCAGATCCTTTCCCTTCATTCCAATAGTAACAGATTCAAGGGTCATAAACCAGGCTTGCAACAGTTTCCCACTCTATTCAGTTCTTTATCTTCTCAGCTGAACCAGAGTAGCACTTGGATTGACTGTATTAAATGTAATACTAATGATAGTCATAAAAGTGACCTATTTGTTCTTTATATTTGATAAACATATTGTCACATGTATTTGCTAGATAAGTTTTGAGTTCTATTAAATCACAATTCCACAATTTCCCCCCCTCCTCGGTACTGAGAATGGAACTCACGACCTCATGCTTGCCAGGCAGGCGCTGTGCCACTGAGCTAAATTCCCAGCCCCCTACAATTCTGCATTCTGTCAGCTTGGTTTCAGTTCACAAAAAAGGAAATTGCTTGGTTGACTGGCAAATGGAAATGTACTCAGACTTGATTTTTGGAAGTTTTCTTACTGTGGTATACCAAGTAAACAATAAATTAAGGAATTAAAACAATTGTAAAGGTCAGACAAGGAAGAAAGATTGTATCTGGGTCTACTTCATATTGCTGTCCTTTTCTTGTTTTCAAGAATATAAGAAAACGAAGCAGGCTGAGCAGGCAGATTTCTCATTTTGGTTTTATTCTCATATGTAATCTTACTAAGATGTCCCAAAATATTAAATCCCAGTCATGGCTTCTTCTTCCCTTTCTTCATCCATTGCTTGATTTTTACCATTGTTCTTTCCCGACTTCTTTTACATTCTCTTATAACCAATCATGGGGATCTGAGACTTGACAGCAGGGTTCTAGCTCGATCTGCAAGGGTATTAATCATGAGAGTCAGTAGACTGTTGTAAAACATTTATTGTAAAGATTTCTTTACTCCTATGACCAAAATCAGGACTAGCTCTTTCTGAGAAATTATGGCATTCCTGAAATGTCCTCCTTTACTTCTTGTTTTTAAATTTTCCATCCAAAAACAAAACAAAAATTAGAATAGA